GCCAGGCGCCGCAGCCGCCGCCGCAGCAGCAGCAGCAGCCGGCACCGCAACAACAGACGCCGCAACAGCCGCCGCAGGATGAGGAGGCGGCGGCGGCGGCCGCGGCACCCGGTAGCGGCGCGGGCAGCGCAAATGGCGTCAAAATGTGTGTGAGGGCAGGGCCGGGGGGGCGCGNGCGGGCAGGCGGCGGCGCTCGGCCAGCGGCCGCTGAGGGCCGGGCGGTGCGAGGCCGCCCCGCAGGGCAGGGCAGGGCTCCGAGCCCCGCGCTCCGGTACCTGGCGGACCGGTTCCCGCGGGATGCCCCTCCGGGAGCGTTCCGCATCGCTGCTGGTGCCGTTTGCGTTTCCACTTCTTGCCGAAACATTGCTGTTTGTAAAGCCGTTGAACTAGGCTTTGTTTACGTGAGAATGGTAAGACAGCCCTGCAGTAATTTACTTTCTGAAAACAAACCCCGCGCATGCATACATGAAGTTTTCTTGGAAACTGTGGCATTTTCATATACGGAGTATGTAAAATTGTGCTTTGTATAGTAGGTCTAAAAGGAACTTAGTATGAGGGAGCTGGAAATACCAGCTCTCTGGAACAATACCATGAATAACTTTGTGTGCGTGGTTCTTGATGTCAGGCTTTGAGGGTTGTCACTCTTTGGATTTTGGCCTCAGATCGTTGGAATTTCAGTATCTCTTCCAATCTCATTCCCATCTTGGAGGCAGAATACATTTGCAGTAGACTTTCTGTTACAGTACATCAAAGCTGTTGGAGTCGGTGAAGTTTTGACATGTTCTAAGCAGCCCTGCTCTGGTACTATTGTGTTTAAAAAATGCATATGGGATCTTCTTCAGTATAAAGCTGGAGGAATAAATATGTACTTCATGCCTTTGCTTGACTCCCTGTAAATTTTATCTTAGTTTACAAGCTAAAAATTCCACTTTACTGTAAAATGGAATTTGTGGATTTGTTTTCTTTTTCTCTAGTCTGGCCCTCAGCTTCCAGACTGCGCAGATTAGAACTGGATTTTCACAGGATGGTTGTCACCCTTTTTGCCCCTTTTAGGCTTCCGACTTTTATTGCTTTCAAGGTTGCTACTGTTGAAATGAAGTATTTTTTCTGTATCCCTCTTGTCAACAGTATCTTCTTTTCCCTCCAAAACCTCACAAGCAAATGAAAAATCAGTCATTATGCCTGGTAGGAGTTGGTTTGAAAGTAATGGGGGGATCTTGGTAACAGAGATTCAAATCTTATTCTTTCACATACAGTTTCTAATCTTCCCCCAAACGGGTGTACAAAGGATTAAGCTGTCAGTCTGTGGGTGAAATGTATTACTTAAAAAAAAAAAGGATATTATTAACCTGGTTTGCTCAGCATTGATTAAACTGGAGAGGAATCCTGACTCAGTTTGCACATTTCCCTAAGTTTTTTGTATTGGGCGTTGGAACTGTTCAGCACAACAAAGCTAAAATGATCCATGTGCTTTGAAATCACATGTTGTGAACTTCTTCCATTTCTGTCTGCTTATCTTATTATGGACACTTGTGAGGAGGAGTAGAAGTTTCTTTTAAAAATTCAGGTTTCAGGGCTTTCATGTTGATGTATCTTGTGCTTATTATTCATAGGCTTCTAGTTTTGCTTGTCTTTTGTCTTCAAAACTTTATGGAAAGTTCAAAAGGTTTTTTTTTCCTCCAAAAGGTATAATTGGTCTTTCAAATCAATGAGCATATGCACTTTTTTTAAAGAACTAATTGTTCAGTCTTAGCAAGAGTGATGGTCTGTGATTTCACAGGCAAATATTAATTTAATGTATGAAATGTGTAGCTCATACAAAAGATAAAGATTAGAAATTATTATTGTCTTCCCCATGAAAATGTCAGTTTATAATTTCTGAGTCTGTCTTTTCTGTAGTCTGTAGGTGAGTAATGTGACATTGCTCTGAATGTGTTTATGGTTGAAATGATTGTTAATATGCAAGGAGGAGGGTAAGAGTTGTAAAAGGATTTCTGCCTCCGGCCTGGTCACTGGCCTGTGTTGTTTTGGCAGATGAGTTTTGCAAAAAAGATTGTTTCTTTAATTAATCCTCTATTTTCAGCAGCCTGGCTGTGATTCCCAGACCAAGTGCAGTGTCGCTTTGTTTCCCAGATTTAGGAGTTTATGCCAGGCTTATATCTGCTGTGCTCTCTACGATGTGCACAGCCAGGTCTTGCAGAGCCTCTGGATTCCATATTTGGAGAGCTGTCTCATCCTGTGCACTGCACTGAGCACCAAGGGATGTTTCATAATCCTTTAAGCAGGAAAGAGCTTAAAAGGCTGAAGAGAATCCATTGCCCTAATCTTAAAACTTAAGGAAGAACTCAGATTTTTACTAGGAGTCTTGTTGGGCAGGAGTTTTGCATTTGCAAATGGGATTGGATTGACAGGAACTGATCTGACTGGAAAACCTGGTACTCTGCTCTTTGCCTCCTCCCTTGGATCCCAATGCAGTTCCTGCATTGTTCCCTTCATTTCTCTTCACTACACAGCCACACAGAGAGGATGGTGTGGAGGAGGGATGATGCAGAGGGACTTGGAGAAAGCTTGAACCAGATAACATGTTGTTGACTCGAGATGTTTTAAATTTTACAAATACCTGCCCCAGGGGAGTATCTATGCATTTCCCAGTTGCTAATCCACTCTTAATCCACGTATAAACACAAGGACTGTGAAGTTAATACCATGTGAGTATTTCAAAATTGGGGAAAAAGTCAGGGGAGAAGTATGGACGTATTTGAATGTACTCCCTGAAAAAATGCCCAGGCTTGAGTAGATAATACATTTAGCGTCATGAAGAGCTCCTTGAATGTGCTTTTGAGTGCAGGACTGCCACTTACTCACTGTTTTGTTAACTATGCAGAGAGCTGAAAACTTGTCAGTTAATCAAAATCTCTGGTTTGGCCATATGTTGTGGTTGTAAAACTGAAATGCCTGAAACCTTCCAAAGTGTCTCAATGAGATAAAAACTAAGCCTTCTGAAATATGGGAAATATAGTAAAGATAGTGATGTAATTTAAGACGGAGGGTTCACAGTCATTCACTACTGTCAGTCCTGTAGGACATCACCTTCTAATTGTTCTAAATAAAGATTCTGATTCTGGCTTTTTAAAATACATGTTTCTGTAAAAGTGCTTTTAAAGTTTCTCTTTAAGTAGACGGTGATGTGTAGTTAAAGATGCTAAGTAGCATCTGTTTAGTGGATCACAATTGGGTGGCTTTATTCAGTGGGTTCTTTCGGTTCAGCAGTTCTGCATTTTAAAAGTAACAATTCAGGCTCCTTGAGCCTCTGCTGGCATGCTAAATGACCTTGTGATAATAACAATATCAGGAATGCTGAAGAGTTACAGATACTTCTAATTCTGTTGGAAGTGTATGGTCTTACTGAAGTTGAGATTTGGACTGCTGTGGAAGGAAAGCAGCCAATTTTCTTGCATTTTCATCTAAAAAAAAAACATTTTAAAAGGAGAATTTTGGTGCTGTTGGTGAAGTTTTGAAAGACTGAGGGCCAGGTGTCTGCTTTATTGTTTTTTGTGGATAATACTTAGTTACCTAATTAGTCTTAGATTCATAGCATGGCTTAATACAGCTGTTTCCTATACATTTAACAAGTTTTCAAATTCTAGTAGTGTTAAGCAGTGAAATTGAAAAAATATTTGTTGCTCTTAGTTGGATTTTAATTTCTAACAGTAATCTAGCACAAATTGCAATTAAAAAGACATAATTTGGTATAAAACCTATTGGAGTTGATTTTGATATATTATTATTCCATTGAATTAAGCATCCCGAGCTGTTTCAACTCTCAAGCTTAGACTCTTTCTACTCTCACTTCTGTGGTGAATATCGTGTAACTTGTCCAAGTGAGGTGAAAATTACCAAAGCACCAAGGCATGGGCATTAGAGGTCATTTTTCACTCTTTCTGTTTTGGTCTTTGTAGTAGTTTCATAGTTCCATCTTCTTTAGTCTTGACAGACAGGATGTGCTGGCACAGAGTGCCCAGAGTTGTGGATGCCCCATCCCTGGAAGTGTTAAAAGTTGGATGGAGCCCTGAGTAAGGTGATCTAGTGAAAGGTGTCCCTGCCCATTGGAATTAAATGATCTATAAGGTCCCTTCCCACCCATGCCATTCTAGGATTCCATGATTCTGTGAAATGGAATGTAAGTGAATTGGTAAGATGTACTTTCTTTACGTAGTATTGGAACATTTTTTTGTTCTTGCTAAAGCAGTGTATTTTGGAATTACTCTGATAGCATGAATTTGTTTTTCCTAATTTGAAAAGCAGCCTTTGACATCCTGGGAGTTCCAGTAGCATAGGAAATACTCAGTTATATAGATGGGAAGTGGGGTAGTCTAATGATCCAACACAAGACTAACAGTGGGTTTGTTTGGATTTTTGTTTTTTAACGTAGGGATAATGATGAGACAGCAAAAGAAGGGAAAGCACCTGTGAAAGAAAAGTTTGTTGGAAAAGCAAAGGCAATCCCTTCTCTTGGAAACAAGAATAAATTCCACCCCTATGCAAAGGAGAAGAATGCAGGCTCTGGAGACAAGAAGGCTGTTAATCGCAACAGAGTTTTTATTAGCAACATCCCGTATGACATGAAATGGCAAGCTATTAAAGACCTGATGAGAGAGAAAGGTAACTTACTCCTTGTAATGCACTTCACACAGAAACCAGTGGGGCTTAAATGCAACCGATGTGTCCTTTGAGCCACACAGATTTGGTTTGACTTTTTTTGTTTTGGCCTGTACTTGGTACATCTATCTCCCTTCCCCCTCTTTCATCCGAGACAATTGCATTGCAGGGTAGGCTGGGTAAATGAAGTGCTCACAATCTTCTGCCATTCTGGTGTGATAGTAGAGAGTATATGCATGACCTCATGAGTTCTTAAAGAGATTGTGTTTTGTCTAGTTGTAGTTCCTGTAGATTTTTTTTTTCTCTAAGGGCTTTTGTATTTAAGCAACACATGAAGTGTGTTAACCTGAATAATAAGGGATGTCTTTCAAAAGTTGTTTTGTATTTCTTTGGTGGAATCTGGCTGTGGCATTAACTTTGTCTGCATTGTCACTACTGCCATGACTGTTTGTCTGGAGCTTTGTATTAAAAGCTTGTTCCTATTGTTGCAGTTCTGATAGAGAAACCTGACTACCCCAAAAATTTTATTTCAAATTTGGGGTAAAATAACGATAATGTATGGATTTTGTAAAAAGTTAGTTCTGTGTTTTCCTTGAAAAATTGATTCTTCAAAAGTAATGCAAAGCACACTTGGCTTTTAGGCTGTGAAAAATGCCAGACCCCCCCCTTCTGTAACTGCTGGCTTATCTGTTGTAAGGTGACGTGACTATTTGATTGGTTTATTTCCTTAAACTTCCTACTTTAGAAAGTGAGTTGCTTGCTGTGAAATATTTGATGTGTAAATTTGGTTATTATTGAAGGCAAACTTTTGATTGAAGATATTCAGGTAGAAAGTCACCTTAAAACAGGTGTTGTGAGTAGGATGATAAATGTAACACTTTTCAGTGATCATTGAAGTTTCATTTGTTAGGTTAAGGGACTGTGTATATCTGAATTTGTTCACCAACTATATCATACTGGCCAAAATATGATCTGTAGTATGAATTAGGTTAAATATAGTTGTTTGTTTTTAGCTTTTGAGAATGTGGCTGCTGCATATTTCTGAAAACTAGCTAAATTATATAGCCATTGACAGGAGGTATGGTTGGTCTGGTTTTGATTGTTGGTGAATAATAGGTGATTCTCTGTAGACTTGTGCACAGGGGCACAGTAAAGAAAGATACTGGTGTTTAAATGCATTGTCTCTTGGTATTTTCCCTTTGTATGTCTTATGTAGTTGGTGAGGTTACATACGTGGAGCTGTTTAAGGATGCTGAAGGAAAATCAAGGGTAAGTGCCGTGGGCAACAATCTGCTAGAGGTTTAAAAGTTCCTCAGCAGTTTTATTTCTGTATAATACCTGTACCAGTTATTGGAAAGTAAGTTTCATTTTTACACTGATTTTCATTAAGGTAGCCTTGAGGATTCTCTATTAGAAGTAGTCTGACACCTTCATGCAACTCACACTAGTTCATTGTAAGGGGCACTGTAAATGTTAACAAATGGCTTTTACTTAATTCTTCTTTTTAGCCAACACCTTTGTCTTGGTACAAATCTGTTTCATATAAAGGATGTTCAATAAACCAATCATTTTATTTAAATTTTGTTAGTGTAGTATACTCTTCTTGGGGCCAGTAAGTATAAAATATTAGCTAAGAATATACTGGGTGAAGTACCTGATTTCACAGCTTTGAAGGATTGGTACTTCTAAACACTGGCTTAATGTATTTACTTTCTTAAAACTAAATGGATGGAGATGGTTGGTAGCCAACAGAGTGCCTGCAATGAGGCACAAATAGTGAAGATTGTTAAAGCTCCTCTGTCTTCTTAATAATAGTCAAAAGTTTGGCCAATAGCAGCTCCAAACCTGCAGTGAGAACGTGAGAAATGCAGGTTTGAGTCTTAACTGAGGTTGTATCAATTGTTGTAAATTACTTTCTTTAATATTTGTTAAAACTAAAGCATGCTGTCAGCTTTGCTATGCTTTAAGAAATCCTCAACTCTTTGCTTGATTAGAAGGATGCTGGTGCAGTCAATAAGGTTATTTTCTTATAAGGTAATTTCTCAATTATGTTGTAGTACTGAAGAGGTATGCAGATTGCTTTTTCCTTGTAGTGGTGTACTTGATGTGTAGGTAGATTTTAATTTTGTAGTTAGTGGACAACTTTTAATGACATGATGAGTGTCTTGATTGGATTTTGGTTATGTTTTGGGGTTATTTTCTTTCCACCCTTTCCCTCCCACCTCCTCTTCCCAGTTGTCCTTACATGGATCTGTGTGGCATTTTTCCAATTCTGGTTTGACTCAAAGAGCATAAGAGACAATGTATTCTCTTGTATTTGAACGGTATGTATGCTGAGAAAGTAGGACAAATTCAGATTGGCTACAACTAAAGAGCATATATTTTGGATTTTGAAGCTGAAAATAACTTGTATAGTTACTTAACAGTGAGCTGGGATCTTTAATTGGAATCTTCGTTAGTCTGTCATGTGCTGACTGACTTTTTTTTTTCTTGCTTGTTTTCTCTTTACATGTGATGACAAATCTCGTGGATATAGGGTTGTGGGTAAGTTTATTTTTTTATGTGTGTAGAAGCACACTGCTATCCAATCATTCTATTACTTTTGACATGTTAAACTTTATTTTAATACTCTAAATATTTTGATTCGTTTGAAGTGTGGTTGAATTCAAAGATGAAGAATTTGTTAAGAAGGCATTAGACACTATGAACAAATATGATCTTAGTGGAAGACCGCTGAATATTAAAGAGGTATGTTTATTGCTGCTGTTTTGAATTTGAAATAGTGAAGATACTAAAGCTACTGAGATGACCATACAGGGTTTTGAGAATCTTAGGTGTGCAATTTCCGGTTTCATGTTTTGTGAAATTTTCTTCATGGGCTGAACTGTCTGTTGGCTTGCAGAAGTTTCTATACTATGCCAAGTAAACTGACAAAAAGCATGTCCTAAAGTCAAAATAATCTAATGCCGTTTAAAGTTGTTAAAACAACTTCATATTCTTACCTTAGGGTTTTTCCAACGTAGGTAATCTATGTTTACATTGCTTACCTGCTTCAAAACACGAGACAGAACTAATTATTTTATTAGACCTCTACATATGTACAAAGATGGGGCTGGAAATAGAGAAGTTGTCCTGTCCGGCGAGTGAAATAATGTCAACATTTCTATTGTAGTGCTGTAGTATGTGATGGTATCTGATGCAGTTCTTCCTGTCCTCTTACAATTTTAATAATGGTATTAATAAATAATAGAAAACCACCACCTAATGAAATTAATTCAGTTCTTGGAAGAAAGTGCTAGACTGACAGTCCTTTAGCTTGAAATCTTTTCTACTTGTCCATAGGCTAGGTACAGCATGTGAAGTGGCAGTGCACGCTTCCTCAACAAGTGCTTTGCCAATATGCCTCAACCCTCATCTGAAAGGACCCACCTTTAGAGGTGAGGGAATTAGGTCTCCATGCTAATTCAGTTCATGATCCCTCTGACATGGACAAGTGTATTTATTAGTTGATAATTTTGATGGGTTTATGCAGAATTTCAAATAGTGCCATTTTGTTTGTTGCCAGTCCAGTTGCTGATGGTTAAGTGGCTTTGTTTGTGCCCATGTTTCAGGATCCTGAAGGGGAACATGCTCGTAGGGCACTGCAGCGGGGAGGAGGGCAGTTTCCAGGAGGACATGGACCTGATGCAGCACCTGGAATGATGAATTTACCACCTTCTATTCTCAATAATCCAAACATTCCTCCTGAGGTTATCAGTAATTTGCAAGCAGGCAGGCTTGGATCCACGATTTTTGTTGCCAATGTAAGCTTAAAACTGTATTTTATAACTTTAGTGCTTGATCTTTGTAACACGTCTTATACCTGTGTAGTTCAGATTGAATATAAAGAGGAGGCTGGAAGTAGTTCACAGTTAGTGTATTTAATTGAAAATGTTGGATATGTGTTCAGATTTTGGACATGGAAGGATACATTAAACTCTTGAGACTGACATGCGCTTCTAATTATTGCAGTCATCTGTTGATTCAAAAATATTTTCTTCATTTTTCACTATTTACAATTGCATTTCTTTTTTATTAAATATATATATCAGTTTACTTCAATTTATCTTGCTAGTTACTTTAGACTAACACGATAAAGTTCCAACAAATGCAGTCGTTTAAGTTCTTTATTAGCACAAAAGAGTACTGTATTTATATGAGGTCTTGTGGAATTACAGCTGCTCTTCTCCAGAACCAACCCAATGGTAGTGTGTTAATTAGAGTAAAATACATGTACATATTGTGCATACCTGTACAATTGGTGACTTTTTGGACTTTGACACTGTGTGTGTATATTACAAAATCTCAACTATTTACAATTATCAAGCATTTTGTCAATGAAGAGTTAACAGCAATGCAGAAAATCTCTTCCAAATGTGCACTGAAATCACTGATGTATTCCTGTGTTTAAGCTTGACTTCAAAGTTGGCTGGAAGAAACTGAAGGAGGTATTCAGCATTGCTGGAACTGTGAAGCGTGCAGACATCAAAGAAGATAAAGATGGCAAGAGTCGAGGAATGGGGACAGTTACCTTTGAACAAGCAATTGAAGCTGTTCAAGCAATATGTATCCTTGGTTTTGAAAAATAATTGATCATATATTGATTAATCTAATGGTTCTGGCAGTGTAGTTTTGCAAATGGTGCTTATTGCCTTTGTTGCTATGATATAGGGACTACAGTGTAATACTGTGCAGATTACATTTGTAATGCCTGAATTTACTACTAAATTCTAAAATGTCCTCATGATGTTGAACAAAATTAAAATACCTGGCAGTGTGACAATTGTGAAACTAACAGTGTACCTAACAGCTTGTATTGCATCTTCTGGCCCTTGAATTGGGTTTCTAAAGCTAAGGTAGGGAAAGATAAGACTCATAGTAATTGTACAAAAATTTAATAAGTTATTGCATTGATTCTTCAGAAACAGTTAAATTGCCTACTTAAGACTCCTTGACTTGCATTTCTTCAGCTATGTTCAATGGACAATTCCTATTTGATAGACCCATGCATGTTAAAATGGTAGGTTGCTTTAATTTCTTTCTACTTACATGTCTCTACCAAAATATTGAAGGGATCATAGCATAACATCCTTGTTTTTTGTCAGGATGACAAATCAGTTCCTCATGAAGATTTCCGTGTTGTGGACAGCAAAAGCTCACAATTACCTCGTGAGTGCCTGCTCTGTTTTCTACTCCTTGCACTTAGTATATGGTGATCCATGTTTTTGTACAGTTTAGCAACACTTTTGCTAACTGGTTTCTGTGATACAGAGGAAGGTCTCTCTTCTGATCATACTTACTTTTCTTTGTTTTTGAGGTGGTCTTGGTGGCATTGGTATGGGACTTGGACCAGGTGGACAGCCCATCAGTGCAACACAGCTGAGCATGGGTGGTGGAATGGGGAGCATGGGTCCAGGAGGTAAATCCATATTCTTCATTTTTAAGTTATACAAAGCTTGTTAAAAATTTTAAAGTTTAAAATTGTAATTTCTGTGTTTGCAAAAATGACAGACTTTTGACAAAGCAAGCCTTGTCTAGTATGCTTTTGAGATTTTAACTCTGTCTGACTTTTTAGAAATCCATTAGGTGTACTAAGTGTTGTTTATCTTTTTGGTTTAAAGGTATGGGAATAGACGGCCCAGGATTTGGTGGAATGAGTAGAATGGGAGGCGGTACGTGCAATGAAGTTTTTTGCATTAAATATTTCTTTAATACTGTATAGAAAACACTTTTCCTTATTTTGCAGGGCTTCCTGGATTTCGTGGAATGGAAGGAATGCCTAACATGGGAGGATTTGGAGTCAACCGAATGGGAGGTAGTTGAACACCGTTCCTGTACAGCTATTACTTTGCTGCTATTTATTTATTAAAAGCCCTCCATTTAGGGATGGGTAATATAGATGAGTTCAAAGGAAGTAGTTGCATGAGTGGAGGCCTGGGAACTGGCAGGACAGTTGAGTGTGTAATAGGTGCCTCTGACTTGTGCATTAGACTCACTTCTATTTAAACAAGCGGCTGTGAAAGAAGTGTTGTGGGAGCATCAACTTAGATGTAAATAACAGAACATTCCTGGTTTTTTGCTTCATTCTTTACAGAAATGTTCCGTGGTGGAATGGGAGCAAACATGGAAAGAGAATTTGGTCGTGGTGACATGGCATTGAACCGTGGTTTTGGAGAGTCTTTTGGAAGGATGGGTATGGTAACTGTTAAATTTTCTGTGACATAGTATTAGAAGAACTTTGCTAGAAGAAGACCGGGTTTCATTTGGTCATCTTCTGTCTCTTCTCCCCCAGTCATTACTGTAAGGATGTAATCTGAATGTTCATTACAGTCACCACTTAAGACAGGAGTTCAGGTGTGGAGGGTTTTTTTCCCTCTGTAAAAAATATACGGAATAGCTGTTTGAGGAAAGCATTTACCTTCATACTCTATATTTTGTGGGGCATTAAATCTTTGGGGTGTTGAAGTATATGCTTCTGATAATCCTGAACAAGGTGTCCATGTACAGCCTTTGTAACTTCCATGAGCCTGTTTTGCAAATGCACGGTGTAAGACTGTTTCTACTGCAGATCAGGTAGCATTGGACAGGAGTGTTGCATTTTGGTGCTTTCAGTTTTTGTCCTACCTTCTGAGCTCCTGTAGCTCAGAATGGTATTTATTGGCCTCTTCTGTAACTGAGCCAGGATTATTTTGTTAATAGATGATGTCTTCTTGGCAGTGGGGTTCACTCGAATGAGTTACTCTTCCATCTTCAAAGGTGTGGAAGAGCTCAGCAATAGAGCCTTCTTGCCCTTTGTTACTATGCTGTTACCTGGATGAATCACACAATCCCTCAGGTTGGAAAAGATCACCGAGCCCAGCCTTTAACCCAACACTGACAAGTCCACCACTACACCAGGTTACCAAGAACCACGTGTACATGTCTTTTAAATCCCTTCAGGGATGGTAATGCCACCACTTTGTTGGTCAGTATGTTTGTATGATTGACAACTCTTCCTGTGAAGCATTTTTTCTGATATCCAATCTGAACCTCCCTGGTTTAACTTGAAGCCATTTCCTCTTGTTGTTTTGCTTGTTATTGGTGGAAGAGACTGACCCCATGTCTCTGCAACCTCCTTTCAGATAGTTACAGAGAGCAGAAAGGTCCTCCCTGAGTCTCTTCCTCTGCTCCCTCAGCCATTCTTCACAAGGCTTGTGCTCCAGAGCCTTGGTCAGCTGTGTTGCCCTTTTCTGGACATGCTCCAGTACCTCTATGTCTTTCTTGTTGTTAAGGGGTCTGAAACTGAACACAAAATGTATTATAAGAGACAACTGTTCTTCCTCTTCCCTGTTTCTTGTACTTTTCCATTCCCTTAATTCACCTCCTTGGAAGAGAAGAACTCCTAAGAGCATAAGGTTCATTTGGTCTAAAAGTTGGGGTTTTTTTAAAAAAAAAATATTAGATGAGGCAAGTCATAACAAAGGGTAACTGTTGTGTGCTTCTCTTCAGTACTGCTAATTGTGTAGAAGTGGTAAGAACATAATAAGCTTGTCCTTTGAGCTAGTCTTAATGCCTTGGAATGAAGATCTTAGAAATCAAGTGTATGTTTTCACTCTGGCTACTTGCATAAGCATCTGTTTCCTGAGTGAAAATGCAAGGCCGCTTAAGTTATAAATGTTTCTGCAAGCAGTAGGCTTCTGAGTCTTCTGGTAACATGTTGGTTTAAAAATTCATGAATGTGGTCACTGTGAGAGACTGATGTGGGTGTCTTTCATTCAGTAGATCCAGCAAGCTTCAGTTTACAAACTATCAGTGATCTGCCCATTTGAATGTATCCTGAGAACCAAGATTAGAGATTCCCAGCTTCAGCTTAAATAATGGAAGGAAATTGTAGGGACTTCTAACAGATACTGTGTTTGTTCAGGGGAGGTCCTGATGTACTGCTGTTAGTGTTTAGGTTAATGGTATCTTAAGAATAAGTACTGTGAAGGCATTTGGTTTTAGTAACCTTGGAATCAAGGAAGGTGTCTTTGATTGGGCTATAGTATCAGGGTGGAATTGAGGATGTTTGATTTGCAGCAGAATTGTTGACTTTTTACACTATCAAGTTCATATAAGATGAAGCATTGAATTTTGAGGTTGTTTTTCCCAATGTGGGAAATGGCCCACTTAGTTTTACCATGTTTGTGCTGCTGGCAGGCTGTCAGAGGGGAGAAAAGCTAGAAAGAAATCAGAATAGCTTAAATCCTGTAGTAGAAAAGGAGAGACTAACTTTACTTACAAGGTGTTCCTGTTTAGTTTGTATAGTAAAGGCACATGCTAAAGTGCCCTTATAGAAAAATATTGCCAGGGAACGTTGAGAACAGTGCACTTCATTAGTGTGTGCTTTGTTTTTTTCACTAACTGGTGGTTTCAGTGTATGTCACTTCATTATTTTTCTCTGTTTAGGTGGTGCAATGATTGGTGTTTTTGCAGGAGGAATGGGAGCACCTAGCATGGGCCCAGTAAGATCTGGAATGAGTAGGTTAACTTGTTTCAATAGAACATAAATGCATAGGCAATGTAACAATACCATGTACACCTACTTGTATCAGAGGAATTTGCTGTAGTGTAGTGTCTTGCTGTTGAGGGAAGTAGAACTGGGTTGCATGTGACAAGTCTAACAGTTTTCAAAGCTGTTTTGTTGAGGTAAAAGTTCAGAGGAAACTAGCTAACACAGTCTTTCCCTAAATCTTAGATTTGGAATAGTTTCAACTTCTAGTTTGGAGGGAGAAGTGATTAAAGCAAACTCATGTTTCAGAAAAAAAGGCAGTTATTTGAGTAAACTTCATGCAACTGAACCTCAGTAATCTGTCATCATTGAAATAAAAAATCATTGAATTTCAGATTATCCTCCAGTTTAATTTTGTGCAAAGCTCCAATACTGAGTTTGTACTGCACCAGCTATCTGAGTTCCTCAGACTAGAGCAGATGAGAAACTAAAATCTTGCTAGTGCTAATCTTAGAATGCATAAAGCTTGAAGAGAGGGTCCCTCATGAACGATCTTGATCATTTTACTGTACATTAATTTTTAATTATGAATCCAGAAATATTATAGCATTTGAATGCTATTGCTCTTAGTTACTTATATAAATAAATTAATACATTTTATTCCATGTATGTACTTTTTATTGGGGTTTGAACCATGACGTGTAGGAAAGTTCATGCTCTTTACAGTACTTGCGGTAACTTCTGTTCTTGGCAAAAAAAAAGCCTTCTCTAGAAGATTTTGTAATTAGGTGTGGGTATGGCAGCATTAAGTTAAGCTGAATATAAACGAAGGAAGCCAAATAAACAATAGTATATCTGGTCAAATTATCTGTATCTAAGTATTGCCACAGTTATTTATTTGATCTTTTTGGTAAAGGTTATCATATTTTTTTTAGTTAAACAAGACAGACTTTAAATTCTTGTGTTCAACATTTTGCTACATTGGATGGTATGACTAATAGCTTGATGCAGTTTGGTTTTACTATTTTAGAACTGACACTCTATATCTTGTGTAATACTTTGTCTTAAAATACTAGCCATGCTCCTTGATAAATCACTGTGCATGTATAAAAGTTATGGTTTATATTACAGCAGTTTTAATGAAGTTTTTCTTCTCCTGAAACAAGAACTTTATTTTTTACCAAATACCTGTGTGTTTATTACTAAAAGGAGATTTTATTTTATCCTCCATTTCTTTCTCTGTGTAGGTGGTGGCATGGGTGGTATGAACAATATGGCTGGAGGAATGGGCATGGATCGGATGGGTTCCGGTTTTGATCGAATGGGACCTGCCATGGGTGGAGGCCTGGACAGGAACATGGACATCGACCGAGGATTTGGGCCTGGCCCGATGGGAGGTGGCATGAGAGAGAGATTAGGCTCTAAAGGCAACCAGATATTTGTGAGAAATGTAAGCAATTAAGTGTATAGGAACCACAAGCTTATTTTGTGTGTATGTTTGATTACAAGCTCTTATTCTCGTTGTAATATTTTGTTATCAATAATACTTTTTTATTTTAGCTTCCTTTTGACTTGACCTGGCAGAAGCTAAAGGAGAAATTCAGTCAATGTGGTATGTATATTATCCTTACCCCTGTTCATCTCCATGGACTTCATGTGTTGCATGGTGTTTATTAGATGATATCAGGAAGACCGTTGTCTGACTCTGAAGAAGAGTCTGGCTAGATTAATTTTTCTTGCTTCACCCAGCTTTCTTGAATGATATAAATAATTTTTAGGCATGACAGAACACAAGACCAAGGTACAGTATGAGTTATGTTGGCTCTGAGTGCTCACTTGCTATAAACTTTAACCTCTTCCTTTAATAAAATTACTCTTTGATTTTTTTTCTTTTTTGACATAGTCCCTGGCCAGGAAAAGTATATAATGTAGTGTTTCCTATGAGCTAAATATGTGCAGGAGCCTGGGTCTGTCCAGGTCCTGCATTACTTTAGAAATGGTGCTGCATCAAATCAGTTAGTAGTTTTGCCAGTGTAGTATTACAGGTTTTATGGATCTAGATGATCCTGATTAGTACATTTGCAGGCTGTAATGTCCCTCTTTTTCTTAAGAGATAAAGGTTTGCTACAAATATTCAATAATTGGTTTTATCTAATTCAGAAAAGTTGGTCTTTTCAGAGAAATAAGTGAAAAATAAAGCTTGAGTGTCAAAATACATGATATGTTTTGAAAACGCATTTTCAGAACAGAGAGCTTTAACTGAATTACAGGATGACTTCTTATTTTGGGTGGACAGAAAAGATCAATAATTTTAAACATACTACTGATGCCTTAGACAATTATCATACAGCTGTTTACAGATCTGATATAAATTCGACTTCACAGTTGAATTATGAAAAATTACAAGTTGTTGATGTTTTCTTTGTATATGGAGGATATAGCACAACAGGTTCTTTCATTTTTTTAAGTCCTAACCTCTTGGGCAACTTTCAGATAGTTCAGAATTTTTTTTTCATTATCTCTGTCAGCTAATAGATGTAGTAATTGTGTTCAGTTGCTTTTGAGAATTATAAGCAACAGATGGTGTTCATGTCAGTATCATAAAGAAATACAAAGACTGTTTCCCAGTGTTCAGTTTCTTTCAGTGAAAGGACAGTCTTAGATGATATTTAAAAATAAAAGGCTTTGTATTTCAGGGAAAAGTTTTTTGTTCCTAGTGACATTCAGGGGCTTAGGAGAAGTGTGCTACAACATACCATAAGCAAAAACTCATCTTTATAAAAATATTTCCTTGTGAGTTGAGTGTCCAACCTCAAGGAAGCTCAGCAGGAATTGGGTAGTGCATGCTACTTTTGAACCACTCCCAGACTGGTAACTTTATTGTTTTAAAGGCTTTAATTTTGCTCTGCAGCTTCTTACCAAAAATTGCTTGTTTGTGACTGTTGCTTGGTAGGTTTCTGTGATGAACAGGGTGGACTGGATTAAGCTACAGTTTGGTTAATGCCTGTCAATACTCACACTTCTGTCAGTATGAAACACAAACCTTTCCCTGAGTCTTACAGGGCACTTTGTTTCAAACTTGAGGTCAAATACAGGCATACTTCAGGAGAGATTCGAGATAGTGGATCTGGATTTGGATTCTTTCCTGCTGTTTTGTCCTGTGTCACCTTGCCTGAATGAGTGAATGTACCATCAGTCTGAAAGTGCAAATTTCAAATGTTCCCCTAGATTATACTTTAAAATGTTTTTTTATTACTTCTGAGTTCTTTAAGTTGTTAGTACACTGAGGACTTAAAATAACTGCTGTTTAACTTATTTATTCAGGTCATGTAATGTTTGCAGAAATAAAAATGGAGAATGGAAAATCAAAGGGCTGTGGAACAGTCAGATTTGACTCACCAGAATCTGCTGAAAAGGCCTGTAGGATAATGAACGGCATAAAAATCAGTGGCAGAGAAATTGATGTCCGCTTGGATCGCAATGCATAATTTAAAACTCTGTGTTCAGGAACATTCCTCTGTCTGTTTAGCTTCTCTGTCTTAGTAAGTCATTTTTAGTAACATTGTATGCTTACAAAAGCTGTAAAAAGGAACTTTTAAATCCCACCAGCCTTTAACAGTATAGTGTTTAATATACTGTGATACTTGTTAACTGAATCTTACTATGTTTGGTTTTTAAAGACAATTCGCCTGATTTTTGTTGTTTTTTTTAAAGGCACTGAGCACCTGCAGCTCCCTATAGACCGGGGATGCTTTGGATGCTCAGTGCCTTTGGAAAATTAGGCCAAGTGTCTCTAGTCATTCAGTTTAAATGAATGGTTATACTGTTTTTAATAAAATAAGCCATTTTCTCTGTTAATCTCCAGATTGCATAGTGGGATTTATTTAGTGTTTTCTGATCTTTTTTTTCCCCGCCAAATGTGTGTATCAACATTGTAATGTAAGAAGTAGATGTCTTTTTCAGAATTTTGGTTTTATATGTGCGTTGTAGTCATACTGTAATTCTTGACTCTAAAAGAAAGGGCTCCAATTAGGCTGTGATGTTTTTGTTCTACTTAATATTACTTTAATGACATTACTTAGTTCTGTATATAAGATTTAGAGCCCAACGGGAGTTTGGAGTTGGTTTTTTAAGTTTTATTTTGACTAAATGAAGAAACTGATCTTTTTCTCCTGCTTTTATTTTTTTTTTCATCAGCATAATCACTGATTAAAACTAGTTACCACAGACCCTTGTAGGATTGTTTCCTATGATGCCAAGTTCATATAAAATTGATAAAACAGTAAATACTAAGTACAGGACAAGACAAATTGTTCCCAATTTTTTATCTATTTTCCAGCCATTCAGGTGAACTGCCAGAAAAATAAAACCAACAGAACAGATAAGAGAAATGGCTGTGTATGTCAGACCACTGCTGTTCACTTCTATGGGTCCTGATGTATTTATGAAGGCAGTTTTTATAAACCAGGGTATTCCCAAACAGAGCATATCAAATACATTGGATCCTACAATGTTAGACATAGCCATATCTCCATTTCCTGTAAAAGAAGAAATACAAATGAGTTGATTTAATTGTATTGCATGAAATTGCCAAACTGTTTTGGAGGAACAGACTGCCAGCCCTCAGTTTCTCACAGAGCACCCTTATCAGATTTTGCATTGGAAGAACTATAGTCATGATTCTACAGAACATGGGTACCACAACCATAAAAAGTCTCCCTAAATCACCAGCATCTGCACAGTTGCACTTAAAATTAAGCTAGACAGGCTATTATAAAGTCCAGTTATGTTTAAAATACTGAGACCTACAGTTGTGTTCTGCAGTAAAACTGTAATACGTAATCAACAAAAATGGAACCAATTTAGAATACTTCTCTGAGATACTCTGAGAGTTTTTAAATGTCTCAGCTACAGCTTTTTCAGGTAAGCTATTTATTTATTTTTAGTAAACTTAAGCTCTAGAATGTGGAGCATGGATTTTGAGGTTACTCCTTGAATTTATCAAAATGTTGACTAGCATTCTTTCTTTTTGTAGTACCTTTTAAACACATCCATTGGCATGAGCCTAAGTACTAAATTTTTACCTTTTCGAGCCACCAGCACACTTGCAACTGTATCTGGTACACTGGTTCCTGCTGCAAGTAATGTGAGACCCATGACTGACTCTGGGATTCCCAGCGTTTCACCTGCAGTTGAGAAATAAGGGTAGAAAATGCAAGTGTGGTTTTAGTTAGGGCTCATCCACTGAAAGTGCTTTGGACTTTGTTTGCTGGAGAAAGAATCAATAATCATACAGTAATTTCATATGGAATGTATCAGCTAACTTAACTACATGTGAGGTGACTGAACCACAAAGCAGTTAAAGAGTAACAACAAATATCCTTTCCATGTTCTTCAAGTCTGCAGTGCTCAAGACAGTAGCAATTATGATTTTTTTTTCTTGCAGATAAAGTAGAAGTTTAAATATCTAACAAATTACTACACTTTTTTTGGTCCCCTCAACTTCTAGAAAATACTGTAGTCTCTTACAGTTTTGGGCATCTCCTTGTTAGTGTTCAAAAGTCTCATGAAGCAATAACTCTTATAATCATTCTTTTTCATTCCCTCAGGGCGGGGGGAAAAAGCACATGAATTTTCTTGGGGAGGACAGTCATTAAGATATTATGAGAATACTACATGTCATTACCATTTCACTCCAATTAGAAAGTGATTTGGAAGAATCAAAGTACAGCATTTTTTATATGACTTTTAAGTACAAGTAACCCATTAGAAGTGTTGAGTTCCTTCAGGCAGATACTAATTTAAATTAAAAGAAAAGTTTTAAACTTTTATTAGAAGGGTGGCTTATTTTCCCTAATCTCTATTCTTCTCAGCCCCAAATGTCCTGTAACCATATTAATTTCTAACTTAAAATACAGGGATTCTTCAAAACTGTTTTAGCAGATATTCAGATGCATCAATATGCTGAACTATTTGATACCTCTAGTCAAGCTACAAAATAATTATGTTTTCTTAAACATTTTTGTTCACTAAAAAGTATCTCAATATTTTTATTGTTGAAATCTGAGTTCTTACATGAAATATTTTGACATTTAATAAGAGCAATTTTATTTAAGTAAGAGGCAGTATGCTAAGCTAGTTCAGCAATGCTTGTCTATTACTTACCAGCTTAGTCTAGAGCAGCCCAGTAAATTTATGTTTGAAACTGTTTGTTGATTTCAGAGGTACTAACATGATCTTGTTGCAGAATTTGTACTCTCTTTATCCTTCCATCAGTTCTAATAGATTTGTAGGATGAGGGACCAACAAATCAGGTTTTATAAACCATCCAGGCTGGAAAATAATGGTTCAGACCAAGGTGAAATATGAAAGAACCAGCCTTATGTATCCAACATTAGTTTCTAGCCCTCTGAAGGTTATAAGACAGAATATAAACTCAGGAGAAGCTAATTTTTCATTTTATTAGATAGATTTATCTTCTCTTTAATGTGTAGTGGTTTATTTTCTAGCAACTGACCATTAAGACAGAAAAGTCTTATTTTTCTAGGCTTTTGTTAATTTTGTGAATCAGTAGCAATGTGTTGCTGTAAGTAGTCAAATTTTCTTTGCCAGCAACAGAAAGATGTACTAAATTAGGTTTGTTCTTGACCATCCCAGTTTAGTGCCCAGCTGTGATACTTTTGTGACATTCTAGTAGACTGATTATGCAATGATAGAACCTTTGAGTTCTCAACCTTCATGAGAGCCTGGACTTGAATATATTGTGTGTTTAACTTGTAGTGTTTTAACATGTAAATAGAATATAATTTACCTAGAAGTAGTGGGCCAAAGACCCCAGTACTAGCTGTGATGACTCTTGAAAGTGAACTAATACACTCTGAATCTCCACCGTACCTACTGTCATAAGAATGAATTAATGCTTTGTCTTGTAGAACAGCAATAATGTTGACTTGAATCCTGTTTCAAAGGTTTCTAGCATCCAGACAGTGAACCCTTGCTCTTTGGGTACAAGTGGAAAATTATTTAACCAAGGGGTTAACATGGTGGGTATAATATCCAGTGATCTACTAGTGATTTCTCAAAGGTTTACTGAATGTGTAGGTCTGTTCCTGCACTGAACATGGAGTTATTAATATCTGAACTAGTAGAATGCTTGGGTAGGATTAGTGAGCTATAATGTGAAAATGGCAAGCTTTGAAAAATTTCTGTAGAGTTTGTTTCATTTTCTGCTTGTTCTTAAATTTAAAAACTGGATGTCTTTCAAGCTGACTGGAGAAACAATGAAATGAGGAGACCTTTAATACCTCAAAGTACTTTTAGGAGATGGTTTTTACATATAAATTCATACCTCTTCTCACTTAAATGCAGTCCTTTTACTGCCCCACTTTATGATGCAGATTTGTAAGAGGTCCACATATACACACTCCAACAATATTTAATAAACACATTTGAGACGTTTTTTGGCAGTGAATTTAAAGCCAAATCTCTTACTGTAATGTTTGTGAAAAACACAGGTATAGAAATTAGGGTTTTTTTCCAAAAGCTTTGACATCTAATTCCAGTCTTAGGGGATTTCATGTTTGTTAGTCTTCAGCATGACAAATTTATTGTTGTGTGTCCAATTATTTTGCTTAATGAAGCAGTTTAGTGAAACTCTGTTTTTAAAAACAGACCGGGTTTTTTGTAGCGACATCGAGTTCTCATTCAGCTGATGGTAAGCAGTGTGAAGCAGCTAAACTCTATAAAGTGTTCCTCAATTGGATAGAAGAGGGTGGCAGACTAAGCAGTCAAACATAAGTTTCTGTTGTTTTTCTTTGTTGTGTTTGTTACAGCACAGTCTCAGTTGCTAAACTGACTTTTAAAGGGAAACCTCACAGGGACCTCACAGAGAAACCAAACAACTCTTTCAGTGATTCTTGACTGGTATAGCAACACCCCTTTAGGTACCTACCTGCTATTGTTACCATCCATACAAGAACATAAGTTATTGCAGAAATCCATGCTGCTGAAATTAAAAATGTCACCATGAACCAGTTCCTCCAAAACTGTCTTCTGCAATCTGGTATAGTTAAATAGAGTAATGTGATAATAGGAAGAGATAACACCCACAAAATTCTCTTCATATCTGCTTCAGGCATAGTAAAGACATTTGGATGATCTGTTGAAGAAAAAGTAAATTTTAAATTGTAGCATCAAGTTTGAATCCATAGTATACAGTATGTTACTGTCCTCTACTAGTGAGAATACTGAAAAAAGGTGAAAAATACTTCTTCCTCAAGTTTCAGCTGTGGTATTACCCAGTACCTACATCTCTCTGAACAAAATTCTGAAATCAAGTTACTTCTGGGGAGATTCTGCTTGTGCACAAGAGGAATATTTTTTCACAATGAGAATAATCACCAGTAAAATAATCTCCCCAGGAAGCTGTGATTCCCCAGTGTTGGACAGTTCTAAGATTCAGCTGAACAGGTGCTGGCCCATCTGGGACCATGCTTTTGCCAGGAAAGGTTGGACCAGATCATCCTTGAGATCTCTTTCCAACATAGTATTCTATGATTAAAATGTTTTTTATTACATCACCAGGGGAGGACTAAGGTGGATGAAAAATTAATTTCTTTATAAGGGTTTGCCCATAGCATTTACCAAGAGTAAGTACCAACTGCTCTTTTTTGCCTAAGAGGAAACATGACCTGTGGCCACATCACAGCTATCCCTTTACTTTTGATATTATGCATACTTTGGGCTATGAACCTGCCACTGTCATAAGGAAACAGTGTATATTACTACAGTACCTGTGTGGCTTTCAGCTGATTATAGTGCATTTTACAAGCAGTGTTGCTGAGAAGGTTCAAATACAC